TTAAACCCTCCCCGGCGCCCTGAGCTGCCTTTAAACCCTTCATGGCGCCCTTCGCGGCCTAGCAGCATGTCCTTTGGCCAGCTGCCGGGCGCTTTCCTGGAGATTTTCTTCTGGTTTCAGAAAGCAACGTTAGGCAGTAGGCTGCCCTTAAACCCTCCCCGGCGCCCTGAGCTGCCTTTAAACCCTTCATGGCGCCCTTGGCAGCCAAGCAGCATGTCCTTTGGCCACCTGCCAGGCGCTTTCCTGGAGATTTTCTTCTGGTTTCAGAAAACAACGTTAGGCAGTAGGCTGCCGTTAAACCCTCGCCGGCGCCCTGGGCTGCCTTTAAACCCTTTATGGCGCCTTGGCGGCCTAGCAGCATGTCCTTTGGCCACCTGCCGGGCGCTTTCCTGGAGATTTTCTTCTGGTTTCAGAAAGCAACGTTAGGCAGTAGGCTGCCCTTAAACCCTCCCCACCGCCCTGAGCTGCCTTTAAACCCTTCATGGCGTCTTGGCGGCCTAGCAGCATGTCCTTTGGCCTTCTCCGTCCTTCACTGCCATGGTGTTTCCCCGTCCGGGGGCTGTGGTTTTGCGCGGTCTTTCCTCGCCCAAGAACCGCGTTTTGGAGCGGGACAAGTAGCTCAGAAATCTCCTCATTTTCTATGGGTTTCAGAAGTTACGTTAGGCACTTTTTCGCCGCCTTTTTTGCGCCTTCTCCGTCCTTCACTGCCATGGTGTTTCCCCGTCCGGGGGCTGTGGTTTTGCGCGGTCTTTCCTCGCCCAAGAACCGCGTTTTGGAGCGGGACAAGTAGCTCCGAAATCTCCTCATTTTCTATGGGTTTCAGAAGTTACGTTAGGCACTTTTTCGCCGCCTTTTTTGCGCCTTCTCCGTCCTTCACTGCCAAACTAATTGTTTCAACCGAAGATCTTGTCAAGGTTTTCAAACATTAATGTGGGTAGTTTCTTTAGAGTTTCATGTAGGATTTCATTCATGAAGGGTCAAAAAAACACGGAAAACAAGGTGGAGGATCCAAAAAAACAAGGTCCCCGTATACTTTGATAAACTATCATGCACCTGTGCGGCGCAACCATGCACCTGTGCGGCGCAACACTAGCTGCATAATAATAGGGCCAAAACTATCGTATAGATATATATATATATTATCTAACTATTGTACAGTTACTTAGATCCGTGAACCCATAAAACCATAGGATCATAATATCAACATGCACCCAAATGAAAAACCCATTTACAAATGAAAATTCAAACCTATCAAATATAGTTCACAACAATATACATAGGAAAAAGGTCGAAAGCCTCAGAATTTAGTTTGCTTCCTTGCCGATTCTTCCGGGGTCGGCGGCAGAGGCGGCAGCCCTTAAATAAAATGCTCTTCCGATCAGTTTGGATAACTGAATTTGGGTTAAAAAAAGTGGATGCAAAATCTATTGATTTTTAACAAATCCAGGTAAACATCATGTGCATCAGACGTGGATGCGCAGATTTTTTTCACACTCTTCTGTAGCAACATGTCACGTAGTAAACGATCCCAAGGATCTCAGCGTAGCAACATGTCACGTAGTAAACGATCCCAGAGATCTCAGCAGCGTAGCAACCTGTAACGTAGTAAGAAAGTCCCAAGGATCTCAACAGGATCTCAACAGCGTAGCAACATGTAACGTAGTAAACGATCCCAGAGATCTTAGCAGCGTAGCAACATGTCACGTAGTAAACGATCCCAGAGATCTCAGCAGCGTAGCAACATGTCACGTAGTAAACGATCCCAAGGATCTCAGCGTAGCAACATGTCACGTAGTAAACGATCCCAGAGATCTCAGCAGCGTAGCAACCTGTAACGTAGTAGCAACATGTAACGTAGTAAACGATCCCAGAGATCTTAGCAGCGTAGCAACATGTCACGTAGTAAACGATCCCAGAGATCTTAGCAACATCGCAATATATCCTGTACAAAATTTGAGGAACGTTAACATGCCCCCCCACCTCACCCCACCCCAACCCCAACCCACACTAACATGGCAATATATCCTGTACGAAGTACGAGGAACGTTAACATGCCCCCCTACCCCACCCCACCCCGACCCCAACCCACACTAGAGATCTCAGCAGCGTAGCAACACGTAACGTAGTAAAAGATCCCAGAGATCTTAGCAACATGGCAATATATCATGTACGAAGTACAAGGAACGTTAACATGCCCCCCCACCCCACCCCACCCCAACCCCAAGACAAAGAGCAATACTCAAAAAAGAAGCAAAACGCACGTACGGTTTTCCTGCCGTAGGCATAAACATATTAGAATATTAGATCTGGCAATGATGAATATGGGAATACCATGGGATATATTCTCTGGTTGATGGTATACCTACCCCTCTGAAAAATATGAGTTCGTCAGTTGGGATCATTATTCCCAATATATGGAAAAAAATGTTCCAAACCACCAACCAGCCATTAAATCCCATAAAACAACCATTATGGTAGGTTAGTAACCCCACTTTTCTAATGTTCCAAACCACCAACCAGTTATCATAGGATTATATAGGGATGATATCTGGTAACCTTGCTGCACCCCATCGCATCCGCATCCGTCGTCAAGGCACATCGGGCAGGAGGCATCCCGCCACCTCCACAACATCCCCATAGCCTTGGTCATGAAAAATGCGGATGGAAATTTAACATAGCTATTGAAAATGGTGATTTATAGTGGATTTTCCCATTAAAAATTGTGATTTTCCATAGTTATGTTAGTTTACCAGAGGGTACGGATGAAAATCCCCGTTCAGAAATGGAGCCTTTGCCGGGCAAAAATGTGCGATGAATGAATTGAGGACGCCGGAGGGTGTCCTCCATCTGAGATGGCGCCAGATTTGACCCTGAAATTTGATGAAAATACCCTCTGGTAATTTGACATAGCTATGGAAAATCACCATTTTTCATGGGAAAACTCACTATAAATCACCATTTTCAATAGCTATGTTAAATTACCAGAGGGTATCCCAGGTTCAAATCCATCTGGTCATTTTTAGGAACATCAAAAAAACGACTTCAGCCGCCCATTTTCAAAATTTTTGGGGCACATCCTGGCCGCCAAAATATCCCAAAATCCCAACGGTTTTACCATGGAACATTTTTTATGGGAAATCCCTATGGAAATCTTTCTGGATTTTTTGGGTTTTTGACCTTCCGGAAATGATCGAAATTCTATTCTTACTGGAGGGATCTGTAAATAGGAAAAGTCCATGATCTTCCTGCACTTCCAGTCTGACAGTCCTATGGAAATTTCATATGTTTGGCAAAATTGAAAAACCAATCCATGTGTGATTTTCAGACACACCCAAGATTATCACATGTCTAAAAATAAACATAACATATCCATACATATCCCAATTATTATTACCCTCTGGTAAACTAACATAACTATGGAAAATCATCATTTTTAGTGGGTAAATCCACTATAAAAGACCATTTTCAATAGCTATGTTAAATTACCAGAGGGTATCTCATGACATATCCAATGAAACGGATTCCTGTCGATTTTTGTCCAACCCAGTTGGATCTGAGAGTCTATTGCCATGCGCATGAAGCAGAACAAAATGCGCATCCAGCAGCTTTTCCAACGCTGCAGCCTGTGGTTTTTGCTGGATGAATTCATAGCGTTTTAGCCATCAACTAGTGAAAACCATCGAAAAAATATGGGGATATTGATACCCTCTGGTAAACATACAAAAATGCTATGGAAAATCACCATTGTTAATGGGTAAATCCACTATAAATGGCCATTTTCAATAGCTATGTTAGTTTGCCAGAGGGTAAATGATTGTTGGATATTGTTGGTCGATGACTTTGATTTGTGATTTCTTTTGAACATCATTAATATTATATATAGGGATATTGTATACCCAGCTTGTAGAATGGTGGTGTTTATTATGATTTTAGCATAAGAAAAAAAGGATCTCATCAAAAAAATGAGTGAACAAGCAAGCATGGTGATCCAAGCAGCATCAAAGAAACACATCACCAGCACAAATTGTCAGAAATTGTCAGTGCCAGTTGCCATGGTGCCATGACGGACTAGCCATATCCCAGAGATTCCGTTGGTGTTTCAAAATTCTATGATTCAACCATCAACATTGGAGATTCGTTTTTCTTTTAGCAGTAGTTCAGTAAGTTTCTTCCTGTTTCAGGTCTGGATCACATTCCCACGGCGGATGATCCCCAAAAACAGGACCACCACGTTGGGCCCGTTCGTTGGGCCCACGTTCCGTTCCAGGCAGTTCTGAAGGACCTGAGGTAGTAAATATCTAGTTATCTAACCTACTTTTATTTCTTAAATGCCAACCTCTCATGCTTAAATCATGTTCAGTTCTCCTTTTTCAAAACAGAAACATCTGTTTTTGGGAAAATCATGCCAAAGTCTCCAGCTTTTTCCATCCATGGAAAAAAAAACATGGAAATATCAACATCTTGGTGAAACGCTTACTTTCCACCATTTTCCGTGGTGAACTCCATCTTTCCTCAACTCCCAAAGAACTGGACCAGTGGCACCTGCATGCCTATGCCTCCGTCGCGTTGGGGGCGGCCCAGCCAGTGCAGTTCCAAACAGATCTGGTCGAAGGAAGCCAGCGCGTCGATGTCACAGGCCCTTGGACGACGGCTTTTTTGTTGTGGTTGGCTACCCTCTGGTTTTTACAGTCCCAAAAAACGGATGGGAAAACTGGAAAACCACCATTTTTGATGGGTAAATCGACGAACTTTCGACTGGGCCATGTTCAATAGCTATGTAAACGTTTGCCAGAGGCCATTTGGGGGTGGATTAGACTTAGTGAATGGGTCAAAAAAACAATGATATATGGAATATCCCCTATTATATAGGGGATTGTGTTGGTTATATGTATATAATGTATGTTAGATGTTTTCTGGTTGGCTATATGGTAATGGGTCAATACCCTGGCACCTAGGTACCCAAAAATAGCTGGTTAATGGATGGTTACTGTATTCCCCAAATATGGTAACAATAGGGGATATTTGGATGTGCATCCCACCTAGTAAATGGGCTATACCTCCGATGATATATGGAATATCCCTTAATACATAATGGGTTATGTGTATGTGTATATATATATATATGCGGATTGGTTGATGAACGTGTTCTTGTAGTTGATATTTTATGTTTGGTTTATGCATGTTTTTTATTTTTGAAAAGAATCCAATGGCAATATGTATATATACGTAATAGTAACACATTTATATATAAGTAATATTATGTAATATTTACGTATATAGACATAAATATGTTTCATGAACTTGGGGGCATAATGGGATATAATCAGATGTAATGGCAATTGACATTGACTTTGGCTTATCAACCAATGGCAATAGGAAATTCAAGAACTAAATGGAGTTTGGTTGAAGTTGAAGCAAAAGAATACGCTTGAACCCATGTTCTTTACCCATCAACTACATGGTTGTCCTGCAACAAAACGGTTGTTCACTGTTCACTGGTGAACTGATTTAACCAGCTCAATTCATGGGAAATTACACCAACAAATTCATGCGGTTTTTTCAGGTGTTTTTCGGGTGACAAACAGGGTATCGCTATGGCTTTGAGCAGCCGTCTGTGAACAGCAGTGTTTCGCCCAAGAACTCGACCGGTCAAAAAAAGACCTGGACCACAGATTGGAAAATCTGGTCATTTTTGAGGATGAAGCATCCATTTTTGAGTGATACCCAATTTTGAATAACTGAATGACCCTGGGACCCGTTACACAAGTCCCGCCAAGTGGCAAGATCGCAGCAAACCTCGGGGGATCCAGGGATACCCTGGTCATGTTTGAGGACACCTTGTCGGTGAATCTAAGCAACACGGTAAGTTCATGTTTGTTTCTATGGTTTGATTGGAAACTAAGATACAGTAATTGAATGGAGAGAATCAATGGGAACTAACAGAATTGATTGCTTGACCTCTGGTAAACTAAGAGTTTGCCATGGAAACTCATGTTTTCCAATGGGTAAGTCAAGTATAGATGGCAATTTTCAAGTTCGCAAACTGTTAGTCATTACCAGGCCGGGTAACTATTCACCATAACCATATATTAACCATGTTTGACAGGTTAAACAACCTGAATGCATCAGCAAACGCGCTTATTTTGCTTGAGCCATGAACACAACGTATAAGATGAATTATGTGAGTATGTACAGGGATATACACTAAAAACACCCCCCGCCGTCCGCAGTTGCGCGGAGGTCGGCAGGAGTAGCCCGCCAGATGTGACCTGAGAGCGGGCAAAAGCAGACATCACTGTACAAACTACTTATCATCATGTTGTGTGGGCTTGGTCTATGCTCGAATGCATGAGGCAGGAATAGAGATACGGATGCAATGCATTTTCAATCCGGGGTAACGCACAATTCAGACAGAGGCAAAAGCGAGATTGGCCTGGCTTCCGCCAAGGCATAGGAGCATTACCACTCCTTTATCTTGCCATTGGTTTCGGAAACAGCTATATCAGGCTAATCTACACGGCATCTGTACACGTGCAACTACCGCAAAGGATCGGATGCTGGTGTCAATGTCTTTATGAAGCAATTGGGAAAAGTTTTCGAGTTAATCAAGTTGGAATTTCAAGTTTGGAAATGTGTGCACTTTGATTGAACTGAATGACCATGGGTCAGCTTTCATCCAATCGGCCAAACCTTCCGGTAGGCATAAAATCATGGCACAAGATGTGAAACATCTACCACGACTCAAACTCTACCGTCCCATCATTGTAGGTGCGCTTGAAGTGCGGCTGGCCGTTGATCTCGCAGTACCCCTCAGCAATCACGAGCGGCATCCTCGGCACTTGCTGTGGAGGCTCTGCTGCAGGAGCTGATCCAGAGGCTGCTTGGGCAGGGTCGCCAGCAGCAGGAGCTGTGTCAGGCACAGGCGTCGCTGTTGAAGGTGGCTGCACTGGCTCTGGGGGCGCTGCCGAGGAGCTTGATGCTGTAGATCTTCCCCAAGGATCAGCCGTCCAACCTCTGCCAGAGTAGCCCTGATTCCAATTCCAGCTTTGCCATTGGGCCTGCCCTCCCGAGCGGCTTGAGTAAGATCCATACGAATCCCACTGTTGCCGTCGGCTCCATCCACTGCGACACTCAAAGGATTTGTGGCCATACTGACCGCACTTCCAGCACTCAATGGCCTGCTGAAAGATTGGACGCTGTTGCTGACCATAACCCTTGCCTTTGCCCTTGGCTGGCTTCTGAATCGGGTCAAAGTGACGCCGGTATCCTTCTCGCCCTTCGCCAGTACCCGTCTTGGAGGACCTTGCCAGTGGGAACTCAGCCACATCTGATGCAGTGGCTTCATCCACGAAGGAGTGTTCTTCACCCTTGATGTTATTGTATTGTTCCTTCCACTGCCTCTTCGCAAAATCGACAAGGTCGAAGAAACAATCTTGGGCTGACTCTTGATCCACAGGCATCATTGAGCCAGACCAACCAAATAACATCGGCGTGGGTTCCCCCCTCGCTTTCAGCAAGTCCGCAGCAAGAACAGCAAATTGTGGGAGTGTAAAAACTCTCGCATGATGTGCAACCATGGCTTCCTTGGTGACGTCCAACGGGAGTCGGATATCTCTGTTGAAGTCTGGCATGAAAATCAAACGAGTGCTGACACCTGTTCCCAGCTGCTTTTCTCGCTTCTCTCGGGTACGGCCGACATCAGGGGCAATGCATTTTGCCAAATCCTCCAAAAATTGGCAACAGTCGGGGGTAATCTGGCCGACCGCATTGTTGAACAAATAAAATGGGTCCTTCTCCATGCGGTCCTGGATCGATTTGAAGCCGAGCTTTGTGTATCTTCCCGCATGTGTTTGAGCAGCGTCTTTGAGATTTCCGAAATTGCTTCGTCCAGCTCGACGTTGATCTGCTCGGGTGCGGTCGGACACTCGCTGAGCTCGAGGCTGCTTCTCAAAATCGATTTTGTCCAGAGAAAACACCTTGTTGGTCTTCTTGGCCGAGATTTCCATCCGGCATACCTCTGTCGCAATTCTTCCATCCGACCAAGCAATCAGCCATTTGAAGCACGACTGACACTTGTGGGTGCCCTCAATGTTCTTCTCGCCGCAGAAGTGGCATCGGACCTGCTGCATCTCAATCTTTGAGCTGTAGATGTAATCCTCAGCATTGGTTGAGCGCTGGGCCTGCCCTCCCGGGCGGCTTCCTTTCCCTTTGCCTTTTCCTCGGCCCTTGCCTTTGCGAATGGTCTCGGCATTTGACAAGGCACCAAAGGAGGCCATCTTCAACGTCACTTTGTCCTCAAAGGGTCCTGAAGTTCCTTCACGTCGACGAAAAGTGGGGGAAGCTCTTCCGGAGAATCTGTCACCTGCATCTCACCAGGTCGGATGGACTTGCCGCTCATGAGGTAGGCCTTCAAACTGTCCCTGGCGTTGGCATACGGGCTCTTTGACAATGCCTCTCTCTTCGGAGTGTCCTGGTCCCGATGGGTCTTCATTTTGTTGTTGTACCCCACACGCGTGATCTCGTAGGGGCGATTGACCCAGGCAAACTCCCGATTGACGGCATCATAGGTGCATATGATGTTCTCGTTGGAGATCCAGTCAGGGCTAATGATTGCTTCGTCTGTGCGAAACAATCGGCAGCCGCTTTGGACGATGAGCTCGGTGTCAAAGGCAATGTAATATTGCTTCCCGGCTCGCGTTCCCGCCAGCTTTCTGCCACCAACTGAATCATCCCACGGGTGTGACGCGATAAAGAAATTGTGCGCCCTTCCCGTTCTTTGGGGCCAGCCACCTGGGATGAGGCCGTGTTCAACTATCTTGTCCATAGCGAGCCTGTCGCAGCTATGGTAGATAACCCTTGGAAGTGCAGCCAGCATCTCAGGCACAAGGTCTGGACGAAGGTTTGTCCTGGGCAACTTGGGCGTGTCGAGGTCGGCCTTGGTAAAGGTTGGGTCCAAAGTAAACACTTGCTTCACCAGCGAGGAAATTTTGGCATTTTCCACGACTGCACGGTTGTGTCCTTGGACAGCTCTGATGGCGACAACCTTCCATGGCAAACCCTTCCAGGTTGCATCAGGCAAATCGGGCTGAGCCACCTTCACCTGAAAGCGCCTGGTGTCACTGTTGCGCACGATGGACAGGACCTCACTGATCTTCGGGTAGGAGACGTAGTGGGCCATCGTCTTCATCACAGCCTCGAAATCCATCGACAGATCCATGGGATCGATGTCTGGGCTGCGAGCACCATAGCTCAATGCGTGCCCCCTGAGAACATAAGATAACTTTGTGGAAAGAAATCTCAGTCGCCCTTGGCCGCAATACTCCTTGGGAATCCTGTTGACCATGTCATTGGGGTCCAACCAAACTGCTCCCTCTTGGCGTTCCGTCGCTTCTTCCAACTTGCGAAGGGCTGCATCAGCTTCGACACTGAGTCGTGGCGCTTTCTGTCTGGGCATCGCCTTTGACTCTGGTGCCTTTTGCTTTTCACTCTTCGGCAATTTCTTTTCGGCCGGCTTTCCAACTGGCTTGTCAACCTCCACCTTCTTCTCGGTCTTGGTCAGGTCGACAATGGCAGTCTTGTCAGCAGGCTGTTCGGAAGAAGCAGAAGCCTCAGGAACTGCAGCATCAGTCGGCACACCCTCCTGGGCAGCATCAGCACCTTCCTTCTTCTCAGAGTCAACGTCCATGGCAGTGGCTTCGGATCCACCAACCTCAGTCCAAGTTGAAATCCTGGAAGAAGTCATGTCGCTGGGCTTGGATTCATCACCACCAACCACACTCCATGTCGAAATCCTCGATGAAGTCATGTCTTCCCCCTCTTGGTCGGCCTTGGCGCGTGCATCTTTTGCAGCAGCAGGGACAACGGCCGACGTTCCCGAAGGCTTTGCCTCAGTGGATGTGATCTCGATGATCTTGTTGAGATCCGCAACCTCCTTGGCTCTTTCCTCCGAGATTTCATCTTCCTTGACCTTCTCGTCATGGGGATTGACAATGATCTTCTCATCAAGAATCACGTCCCACTCATCAAACTCGGGAACAACCTCAACTTCGTCATCGACATCAGTGTTCTCCGGGTTGATCTCGATCGATTCAATGGTCGTTGTTGAGAAACCATCGGCCACGGCTTGATTCAAATCTTCTTGAAGGTATTGTCGGGCCCTGACTTCTTCGGTTTCGTAGTCCTCGATCGAAGGGTCAATGGGGACGATGGAGCTGATCTCTTCATCAGTGAAAGCAGTGGGCATCGGCCTTCCCTCCCGGGTGGCTTCCTCGTTCGCCTCAAGAATTCCTGCATGGACCCACATGAGGATCTCCTCATCTGCCTCGTCAAAGACCTGGGCAGGGGTTGCCGTTTTCTTCTCGGTGGAGACGGCTTCCATGACTTCCTGAGTGCCGAGCAAAGCCAGACGGAACTGAACCATCGTTGGGAAGAGATGGACCGCGGCCACACGATCTTGCTCGTTGCTGATGAACTCCCTCACAAAGTACCTGAGTTCGTCCTTCTTCGACATGAGCTCAACATATTTGAGGTGGAAGGTGTTGGCTCCTCTCAAGAATCGGTAGACCAGTTTCCGATTGAATTGGTGGTCATGAAGGTGGTAATTGTCGTATTTCCCACCCTGAGCGAGCATAGTGGAGTTCACACATTGGATGCCACGCTCTGCCAGCCAATTGATGTGCTTGCCCATCTCACGGTTGTAAGATGGCGGCAATGAGTATCCGGAATGGTCACCGTTCCCGATGACTTGAACAGACATGACACGGGGGTCCTTGGAAATCTCAACAAGTCCTTCCAGT